AGATAAAGGATGGTGTGTGATACTATGTTTGTAATTAATTTTATTTTAGATTAATTTTTGAGGGGGCGTGTTGGAATAACAAAAATCAATCTACTCATTATTCTCACGCCACTATTATAAGTGCCTTAAGTGGCCAGCTAACCCTCACTGAGATGTTTGCATCTCGCCCTCATTCGGTTCTGCTAACGCCTTCAGGCAACACACACCTCCTAAAGTAAAATAATAAATTCCACCTCTGCTATTTGATAAATAAACTTAGTTTTATTTCATCAACCCAAACCTAACATCCCACACCAAATTATCTTTTAGAATAATTAAATTCATGCATGACATGACCAAATAACATTAACTTTACGTTAATTACTTAACTAGTTTTATATATTTATTACTTCAAGAAAAAGACAAAATTAACTTAATACAAACAACTTTTCAACAAATAAAAAAAATGACAGCAAAGTTTTTTTTTTATTGGCGGGAATATTTATTTTTTCTGCAACGATATCAGCCATAAGTCCTAATATCTCAAAGAAGTTATTGACCTCTTTGATAACCATGAACGTGAATAATGTGTAAGTAGTTGACTATCGTAACATTTACATAATGTGGTTTGTCGAATATTTAAACTAAACCATGTGTTCTTAAAGAACATTCTAGATTCATATATGTATGTTCCTAATGTAGCATATTTTGTATAAATATGATACTAACACCAGAATCACCTTGAATTGTAGCCATCGACAAATAACGTGTTCACACTCTAAACATTTGCTTATTAGCTTATATTTTATAATAACTACTCTACTAAGTACATCTACGTGTGAAAAACTACAAACAATATAAATGAGCGCCACTTGTTATTTAAAATATGAGATCATATAATAAATTAAAGCAAAATTTCACATAGTTTCACTTTACTTACCGTTATGATAACTTATAAAATAGTATCACAGTTCAAATCAGACAAGCAGACAATTTTATGTCTTTTTTTATTCACATACACCCTCACTAGTGCACGTCCAAACGTATACTGAGTTCCACAGACTATAGCTGTTATTATGTATGTGTTTTGGCGCGCTAATTGATGATAGTGCCGTTTCATTCGCGGAGTGAGCTCGCGTGCAAAACTTGTTGTCATTACTTTCCCACTTGGGCAATTTGTCGTGGGTGCGATAAGGACAATGATATTCGACGTCATTCGGAGTAAATTCATCAATGTCATTATGTATAGACGCCATTCTAAAGGGAAGACTTCAAGCAAGTAGTTCTAGTCATTTTGATGCCTCAATCTGATGACGTCATTTTGTTTTTATAAATGAATCATTCTAGATTGACCTTCATAAAGTTGGTTTGTCACGATTGTTTTAAGACGACCGGTATAAATATGAATATCGATGTCATGATGGATGATGGGATGCTCTTTACTAGCGACGGCTAAGCATCCTAAAACTTTACTCCTTCGTAGGATCCCAAGTTTTGCGCTACATGAAATTTATCAAATGACTCGTACGTACGTATAGTTAAAATCCAGAAGTAGTTCCATCTTATGTTATTATTATGGTTTTTAGAATAGAATAGCGTACCCAACCGGAACTCCCTCGATCAACAATCCCCTTAATATGTCCAAAGACACAGTAATACAGTTGATCGGCATATTCCGTGTTTCAGAGACCGGAAAACCACAATTAAACTTTAATTATTGTACCAACTAATGAACGACCAATTCCAAAACGCACAAGAAACTATCGCTTGTTGTTATCTGACCTTTTTGAAGGGCATTTCAAAATTATTCTTTTAACACATTATTCATCTAGGGCAATATAGCCACAATTGAGAGTAACTTAGTAACGAAATGTCAATAAGCAGAGCTCGGTCTGACGGATCCCTAAAGACACTACGACGGCCCCGATCAGGAGAAGGAACGGGGGTTTTAGTCAGTAAGAGTCTGACATTCCAGTCGCCTTCACCCCGATTTTCTCTTCACAAAAATGGTCCCACGAATCCCCGCACACGTATAAAGGCATTCGCCAACTATGGAAGGACAAGACGGGACCCAGGGCTGATGTTCAGTCGGGGTTGCGGGCTAAGCGCAATGAGGCACTGCGGCCTCGGCCTATAGCAGGGGTGTTTTTTAGCCAGTAAGAGTCAGTCACTCTCTCTCGCCTTAACCTGGGCGGGAGAAGTATTTAAATAAAATGTTGCTCCTATGAGGAAAAAAATGACCGTTAACTTCTTACCAAAGATGGTTACGCCATTATTGTTTTGTCGTAACACGAAACTTTGGAATCATTTACAAAGATCTTGGAAAATGAAGCCATAAAACAAGATACATATTAAAATAAAATATTAAAGATATAAGTACTACTTTTAAAACAAAGTACCTTTGCGATATTTTTAGACGCAAAAATGCCATGACGTCATAATTTGGAGTTTCATAAAAAAGTATAAGTTTTTGATATTTGGATACTATTGAATTTGACCAGTTGGATCCTACCGTATTATATTCTACAGACGGCTTTTGATATTGTAAGGAAATCCTTTTGATAAATTCTACCTATTTTAAAATCTTAAGTGTGGGAGAGCCATGCTTCGGCACGAATGGGCTGGCTCGACCGGAGTGATACCACGGCCTCACAGAAGACCGGCGTGAAACAACCACAGCGTTGTTTCGCCGTGTTAGTGAGGTTACCGGAGGCCCAATCCTTCCCCGCCCCCAATCCCTCCTCAATCCCTAAATCTCCAAATACCTAATCCCTAAAAGGTCGGAACGCACTCGTAACTCCTCCGTTGCGAGTCGCCCATGGACACCCGTCCATGGGCGGCGCTGATTGCTTACCATCAGGTAATCCGTCTGCTCGTTTGCCGACCAATTACATAAAAAAAAACATTTTCATCTACCAAAAAACTGCTAATTCATCATACGACACTTCCTTAGTCAAAACATGATGTATGCTGTTACGACACACGCTTACAATTTGATATCCACGTTGGTGACAAAAGCACAAATGTGCTAATTTGAATGATAAAGCTGTTTTATTTACTATACACAAACATCAGTCTGATAAAGAGCCGTTCTGACTATACACAAGCCATATGCTGATGACATCAGAAATTGAATAATTTCAATGATAGGACAGATATGGTATCGGATTTATTGGACAGGTTGAAATGGAAAATAATTCTGTTTTCTTCATGCAGTGTTGCAATTTTCGTAAAGCGATGATGCTAGACTGGATTTTAAAAAGAATTTGTTACTAAATTAGATATTTTCGTAATGATCCGATCTAAATGAAAGTCATTAGGAGAGCTTTAGCAGAATTGCAACTGATTTGATGCTTATGAGAATCATTAATATTGCAGAATACGCAGATTGCCGTGAGATTCGTGGTGGCCCTCATGGTTGGAAACCTGTACTGGCAAACGTGACTTTTTCCGAGTTATATGTACTTTCTATGATTATTTAGACACCACTAACATACGGTGAAGGTAAACATCGTGAGGAAACCTGGACTTATAATTCCTAATTATAAGTTTGAAATCGCCAACCCGCATTGAGCAAGCGTGGTGATCAATGCTCTAACCTTCTCCGTATGAGAAGAGGCATTTGCTCAGCAGTGGGCATTTATAAGCTGATGTTGATGACGCAGAATGCATATTGAATTCTTCGCTAACAAATTTACTATTCGATCTAAGTCTTAATGACTTCTTGCGCCCAAGGTGAGGCGTTGAGGCGCGAGAGAATGTCAGATTCTTACTGACTAAAAACCATCCCACGTCTTCCCCTATTCCAGGCCGCGGCCGTGGTACCTTATTGCGCTTTCCCCGCAACTGCGGCTGAACAATGAGTAAGGGGTTACGATTAGCTTATAATGCATGTCCGAAAATATCTCAAGACTTGGTTTTACCGTGAAGTCTCAGATAGCGGAAATTCTGTAAAATAGATTGAAAATTTCTAGCTATGCTATGGTTAGTGCCAATTGGCATGTTCTAGTAGACTAAACAATCTAGTTTTTACCTCTTTAAAATATTAGTATAGATTACGACGACGCTCTTGTATTTTCTGGGAATTCCCGAAATTAGTCAACTCCCTGTATTTCCCTTATATTTTTACAAACGACAAACATGTTTTTGTTTTCGACTTTCAAAATAAACAAGTTAACCATGAAAATAATATGACTCACGTGAAATGTTCCACAAAAGCTAGGCTAGTCGGTTGGTTACGCGATTTGTAGCTTTATAAGTACTATCTCGTGAATACGAGTCCCGTTTTAGTTTGAAAATAGTCGAGCTTTTCTCGAACATTTCAAGTAAGTGAACAGACATTTTCATTAACGTAATTTGTCTCACTATACTCTTTTTATAGAAAAAATGTATAATACAACTGCATGTTTCCTTCGTGGACTTGATTACATCATATATATATATATATATATATATATATATATATATATATATATATATATATATATATATATATACTAATAGCATATAGTTTTGTCTGTCCTCCATTGCACGCTTAACCATTACCTATTAGTAAAAAAGGCACATTTTAGAAGTTAATTAAATGAGTGTGTATTTCGAGTGTTAAAGTGATGAGATATAGAAACAATACATAATTATAACAGCACCAACCAACATGGGAGTCAACTGACCTTTCCGACATTGTTTTGGTAAGTAATAAGTTGACCTAACGGTCGTTCAGTGTTCGGGAAACGGGGGATATGACGTCATTGTACAACTATGGCGCCGCTCTATAGAAAAACTCACGACACCTTATCGATTTTGCCAAATATTCTGTCACATTGGATGGCTGCCAACTATGTTAGTTTCAGGGAAGCTAAAAAGACAGCATTTATTGGCTGAATCACAATTCCTAGACTTCGTAAATTGGGTAATGCGTCATTTGAATGAACATGTAGATAAGTACACAGATCATTGTAACTAGATCCATTACGACTGTTGAAAACTGCTGTTTTATCTCCCATTATTTCATCAATGATTACCTGGTGGTAAGCAATCGGCGCCGCCCGTGGACACCCGCAACAACAGAGAAGTTACGAGTGCGTTGCCGACCTTTTGGGGGATTAAGGATTTAGGGATTGGGGGAGAAGATTGGCCCTCCGGTAATTTCAGTCCCGGTTGGTTCACGTCGGTTTTCTTTGACACCGTGGTATGGCTTCGCTCAAGCTGACCCATTCGTGCCGAAGCATGACCCTCCCACATTTAAAAATATTATTCATTGGACATGTTGTTGCCATTTTAGCATTTTAACCGCCCAACATTTTAAGTTTATTACTATTTCAACATTTATCAACTGTAAGACTGCTATAGATTCCAATAAAAACATTCGTTCCGTTCGAGGAAAGAATAATATAGGCATTTTTGCACGGTTGGCGTAGTGGCTGGGCAACTGGCTGCTGTGCAACGTATCAAGGGTTCGTTTACCTCAAAACAACACTTTTTGATCCACAAATTAGTTGTTAATTGGGTCTGGGTGATTTTTGTGTATGTGAATTTGTATGTTTGTAAATGCAGGAGAAAACTATAATGTAGATCTACGTTTAATAAGAACCCCGAAATGTAAGTCATAATTTCTTTTCTTTCTTTCAAATATCATCATTACTTCAATGTTGCTGAGATAATAGGAACCAAAGTGCATAATATATCATTTAAGAATGAATGAGAACAGGCACTGGCATAGTAGAGTCACAGTCTACCATAATCAAATTCGCATCCCTTTTTAATATACACACAAGTAATATAGATAGAAAACAATTAGGTAGTAGTTTCCTTAGGTCAGAAATAAATTAATTCGAAGTTTCAATGCAATAATACATTGAAAAATAACTATGCCTTTATATTCATCAGTCTGTCTGTACACTAAATTTTCGATATTTTTTGCAGTTTTTAAAGAAATAAGTAAAGCAAAAATACTATGACGTAATAATTCGGAGTTTCATATGTCTCTATGTCATAGAAAAGTACCGTTTATGACATTCGGATAAAAGTATTGAATTTGACTAGTTTGAAACTACCGTAATAAAGTCACTCTGTTCTTATTTATTGATAACATTGAGCACATTCATAAAATTTATAGCTCCAAGATAGTAACGGCTGAGCGGTTAATCAGCTTAATCAGTGCACTATCAGATACCAATCAAGTTATCTGAATGAATGTTGCATGAAATCATTCATTTATATATCATTCACCGATTGCCTATAAACAATTAATTTATTTTTATTTATTTCATTTAATTATGTGTTGTGGTGGCTCCGGAGGTTAAGGCTATAATTGAATGATAGCAAAGATAACATTTTTCCCTTTTTACTTTACTTAATTGATTGTTTTAAGAATTTAATTTTATCATTATGTTGTTTTTTTTATTATACTTATGTAAAATGAAGAGGTTGTGGTGGCCAGGAGGTTCCTGCTTCTCTTCAGGGTTTAAAACCTGGCAAGTACCAATGTGAATTCTTTTTCTAAGTGTATTTAGGCACCACTGACAACAGGTATAGAAAACATCATGAAGAAAGTTGGACTTGTAACCACCAATATCGTCTTGAGCAGGTGACTAATGCTCAAACCTTCATGTGAGAGGTTTTTACTTGGCAGTCGGCATTTATAGGTTGCTGATGATGATGAATTTATTGTTTAACATATTTCAGTAGCTTTACTTTGATTTATCTAATGGATACCTAAATCTAGGTTAAGTATTTTAGTCATTGTTATTGGAATAAAAATCATAACTACAATATTTATACCTTATAAATTTTTACTCATAATACAATTCCTCGTTAGTAAACAAATAGGCTCTAAAACACATAGCTAAAGTTGGCTCTGAAACGGACTGCTAAGGATGACTAAGTAACCATTACATGACTCTGATTGTAGTGGATAATTAAAATAGAAAATGAACTATTACTCATTATGTAAAGATTTATTTTGTTTTTAAATTATTTTTATTAAGAATCCATCTTTTTTTAAGTCCAGTGTAATGAAACATAATGTCAAAAAAATACTACCAAACACTTAAATCTTCTATCAATTATTTAAACATACTGTAAGTAAATTGAAATTAAAAAAAAAACTGGTTGCAGTGCCACTCTTGTATTGCCAGTTTAAATATTAATTACAATAGGTAAATATAATTACAGATGTTTTTAAATATTTTTTTTTGGTCTTTCTTCTAGGAAGTAATGGATTGGCATTGTTTTATCAGATTCAGATATTATGGAGGTTTTATAGTAGAGAGACTACAGTTTGCCTCAAAAAGAGGATTTATTACCGGCTTGCCATAACAAATTATAATTTATGGAATAACAAAAAAGTTCAATAGAAAGAAAACAAGGAAATAATTGAATGTACAATAAAAATAATTTTATCAATGAAACAACTGACCTAATAAAAACCAGGTCACCTTTCCCCAATATTGTGATATCATTATATTGAACCATAGATAACAAGAAAAGACCAACAAGTTTCTATGCTTTTTGACCTACTTTCTTCACATTCTCCATAAACACCATAATTATTAGGAGTTGACAATCTGTTTCTAATTAAATTCAATTAGGTACAGCTTAGTATTTAAATGATATTTACTTCAATGGTTCATTTCAACTCTGTGTTTTATTATACAGGAAAAACGTATAGTAATCACGGACCTTGTAAAACGACAATCAACACATGTTTAGAACATATAATTATCAACTAGCTGTTGTGAATACAAGACAGAAACCTAATTTAGGCTATCGAATGGGTGGGTACATATTTTGTGTCTTTAGATTTAGTTGGATGTAACTAAATGGGTGTGGATGAAAACTCGACCCGTTTTTCACAATAAAAACGGACAAACAACGCAATATAACGCTTAAAACTGACTAATACACGTAACAAAAAATCAATCATAGTGACTAGACCGTACAAGGTCGAAATCCAACTGATAGCAATAACGTAGTATTTGACTAATGTTGTGTTTGCTAAGAAAACTTATTAGAACTCTTTTAACAACTATGTAATGATAAATAATGTAAAAACTCACCAGTTGTTGAAATAAATAAAGATTTCCAACCGGTGTAACACGCGGTGACAAGCTATCAATGTGGAATGAAATGAATGAAATAGGCAAATAGAACGGATCGGAGTTGTGTCATAGTGATGGGGTACATGCAAAACTTCAATCGAGTCGAGATTTATGTAATCGATTTTCATGTTTACAAAATATTACAATTAAGAATAACATCTTGAAATAAATTACATGGCAGGTCTTTAATCTGAAGGTTTTTGGAAGAATGTCACACGTTGCCTTGCACGGGGGCTTGTACAAATATGCTGTGTGATATGCACCATACTTCCCTAAATAACAATTCGTGGACCACACAAGAATTTGTTAGGAATCCAAAAAATAAAACCTGGGAAACGTTGGACAGCAGCCGATTTCGCAAATTGTGACATAGGAGTGCCAAATAAATCAAAACTAAAATTAGTTAGTACGGGTAGATAAATATAAAAAAATTACACTCAAGTACAAATTTTTGTTTAGTAACTGTTATGAGACATACTAAATTTATTACAAATAGCGACTTACTCAAGTGAATAAACTGGTAAAGTGTGTACTAGTTTCAATCAAATCAACATTTTAATGCAGTTAGCAGAATACACAATAAACTTATCAATTCTTACAGTTTTCGAAAAAAGAGTTTATGGAGTATGAACTGACAAACAAATGAACAGACATCAACTACAGGTCTTTGTTATTTGGTTACGCAGTATAAAAACAGTCAGAAAGTACGCGTGAATGTATTTGCCGAATGCAATTGATTTATACCTATTTGTGTTTGTTAGTTACATTCATCTATTTATTAGTTATACATATACTCTCTATTTCTATCAGTTTCAAATGAATCATATTCAAACTGTTTTTGAACCATTCACTGAGGAAATCTTTTACAGTCAATGCTTTTTATTATGTAACAATTTAATGTCGATTTTTATGTCGCTTAGTACGGGAATTGACTCGAATAAATCTTTTTTGTTTTTTACACCGACTTCTTGTATCTATCTATGAAGTGTCATTGCCCTTAACCGCCATTGGTTGAAAATCAGGTTATATTCATTCAATATCATTCAATAGTACACCAATGAAAATGTCAAATTGTATTTTTAATATTTTTATTCGGATTTCATTCATGTTGTTCACTTCGCTGGGTTCGGAACGATTTGAGTTTTGGTGAAATTAAAGTTTGAATTTGAAACAGTAATAAAGCAATAAAACGAAAATGACTACGGACATAAATCAGATTGGATCGCAAAAAGTTAAAAGCATCACCAGCGGTGAGGTAAATACTCTAATAAATTTTCTATGTTACATAGACGTAACTTTTTTTATAAATCTAAAACGTCGCATCGCAACGAAGGAAGAGTTTTTACGTTTAATCGTTGCACATTGCTTTCAAAATGTAGATGATGGGAAGGTGTTTTCTAATTTCTAAATCAGATAATAAGTGTGGAGTTATAATATTGTTTGATGATTTTATCTTTTATTTAATTAAATTTTGCGTAGGGATCACCCGGTCTGTTTCTTAGATGTTTCGAAACTGTTAACTTGTTTGTGAACCAGTGAACTGTGAGTTCTAGTTTCGGCATTGACAATAGGAAATATCTATTTCTAACTATTTCATAAAGAAAATCTGTACTAATTTATTAAACCATAGAAGATTTTGCAATAATTCTGTTTACCTACCTAACTGCATTTGACTGCAGGATGTATTAATTTCCATTTTCCGTCGTCATTTATTACCTTTAAGCATCGTAATTACACAGATTATACTCATTAATATCTTTATTTTAATACCTACAGTGGCAAAGGGCAGTTCTATTCAGCCTGATAATAAGATAGTATAATTATCTGCTTTATTTTTTTTATAATTGTAGCTATGTACTGCTTGGGTATAATTCAAATGTGCTTTTTTTATGTAATTTGTCGGCAAACGAGCAGACGGATTACCTGATGGTAAGCAATCACAGCCGCCCATGGACACCCGCAACGGAGGAGTTACGAGTGCGTTGCCGACCTTTTAGGGATTTGGAGATTTAGGAATTGAGGAGGGATTGGGGGAGGGGAAGGATTGGGCCTCCGGTAACCTCACTCACACGGCGACACAACGCTGTGGTTGTTTCACGCCGGTTCTCTGTAAGGCTGTGGTATCACTCCGGTCGAGCCGACCCATTCTTGTGGAAGCATGGCTCTCCCACACTTATAATTCTAATATGCTATTGTTTATCAGTAAGATTGTTTGAAAAAAAAATATGCATTTATAAGTGCACTGAGCCTTGATAAAGACACTATAAAACTAAATATAGTTCATAATATAAACAGAGAAAGTTAAAAGACAGAAATAAAACAATAACAGTAAAAACAAGACCATTAACATATTAATTGACTTGATAAATAACTATAGTTTTGTTGTTATTTCACAGTGTAGTTTTAGATTACAAAAGTATGAATTACTAACTTCTCTCGCGAGGTTTTACCCGCTGCTCGGCCCCATTTAATAGTAGATGATGTTTTATAGCCTATAGCACTCAGGAACATTGTAGCTAACTATCAGTGAAATAATTTTGGAAATCCAACCAGCAGTCCCAAAGATTACCCCCTACATACAAACTTACAAATCTTACCTCTTTATAATATTAGTATAGACAATGATTGGCAGAATTAAATTCAGACATCGATAACAATAAAAGATATTAAAAATCATCACATCTATCTCAAATAGATTGTTAGCCGGTAAGAATATAATCATTAAAATTAGTCTTTGTGGAGAAGCAATTTGCTTTCTCCGGTCTTTTGGAGATTTGTCAATGCAAATGACAACTAAAAAACTTTTTTGTTCATAACATTAGTATATTTAGTTAGCTGGTCCATTTATAAATAGGTTACCTATGAAACTGCCATTTTGCATGAAAAAATTTAAATGAATTTTTTTATTTGAAATGCGATGAAAATGTAACACTAATCAATAAACAAATGACTACTTTTGGAAAAAGAATCCCATGTTTTTAAAACAAAATTAATTAGCCTTAGCCTAACAAAAACTATTTTGATTTGAAATGGCCAGTACTGCAGAATGGCAATTTCATAGGTAAAGACCTATTACAAAGTCGAAAGTCAAAATTAAATGTTTTATTTCATTTAGAACACTTGAATCTCAAAAGAAGATTTAAAGGTAAAAAGGGCCAGTCTTCTGTCAATCCTTTAGTGCAGCTGTTAACTTATTCCAAAGTGTAGATTACTATGGAGAAGGATGAGAAAGAAACTCCATGGTTACTCTTTTTTTTAATCAGTTTTGCAATCAGACTTTTTGGTACATTATAAAGTTGTTCCATTATGTGAGAACAAACAGTACTTAACGGTAAAACGGGGTGAATAGAATTCGAGGGGTGAATAGACACAGTAGAGGGGTGAATAGACACAGAAGAGGGGAGAAGAGACACAGAAAAGGGGTGAATAGGAACATTCTCAACATATATTCACCCATTTCATGTATACCGTAAAATGGGGTGAATAGCCCCATTTTACGGTATAACGCTAATATTCAGCTCATAAAACTGGAAAAGAAAATAAAAATAGACAGTTGAGAGCTGATTGAAAAAATCTCCATAATTAAGACTGTATACAAAAATTTGCTTTAATTTTCAGACGGTAGAGTTGAAAAGCTTTTGGGAGAACCAGAATGTTGCCATCATTTTCTTCAGACGCTGGGGTTGCATGCTCTGCAGATTATGGGCTAAAGAGGTAAGATGATTTGAGTATGAATATTATTATATTATTTACCAATGGATGGACAGTATCTAATTAAGAAATGACTCACAACGACGGCGCCGTGACGTGCGCTTTGCTCATAATAAGAGTCCTGTGTATGACTTGAAACTAGTACAGTTTTTCTGAGTTAATTCTCTTCTTTTTCCATTCTATCCTTCGGGCCACCGCGTAATATAATACCTACATACTACTTACCTATAAATAGAATTATTTCTGTACGTATGCTTTTAAAACAGAAACTACGAGAAAACGTAATAGATAATTACTGCTATTAAATATCAGGTATCTTAGTCAACATTATGATATGAAATGTAGTGCCAAATTCCATTTACGCGTATTTATTATCTGTATCGATAAGTTAGAGATGACTGGCGATATGGAATGCGTATAAAATTCAGATAAAAAAGTAAGTAGGTACATTGAACTGTAGAAATTGGGACTGGAAAATGAACTAAAATTTTATTGAATAGTTGACTTAATACTTAAGGGGGTAAAGGTTGATTTGGTTTGTTTTTGTATTTGTCTAATCATAGTAAAAAGGTTGAACTGGTTGATCATTTTCATTTATCCAAACAGGTGTCGAATTTGTTGCCAATGACATTTTTGGACGTACCTATGCATGACCCATGCACTCAAAACGTGTTGCAATAGCAACAGGACTAAACTTGTCGCCAATATTTGGGCGGGTCGCAAATGTTGGCACATATGCCTTTGATGCTATTTTCTAGATACACACGTTGTACGAATGGCGTTAGGGCCAACGTTGGCGCCAACGTGTGGAGCCGGCATTAGTCAGTACCGTAAGGGTTTGACACTTTTCGCCCCTTCCAGAATGGCAGAAGGCATATCATGGACAATCTCATATAAAAAATTACAATTACAAGGCTTTTAAGGTTTTTATAGATTCTAGAAACATTTCAATATTACATAAAATTGATGTTTCACGGCCTACAGTTTGCTCAGTAGAATTAGCGTTATCGTCAGATAACGAACGGAAAATTTTTACTGATAACTCCCTTTCCCGATATTGTCAGGTGCCAATCACATATTAAGTGAAAGAGGGGGGTACTTATTTTGTATTTTTACTCCCCCTTTACAGCTTATTGTATTAACTGTAGGGGATTTTGGAGGGATTTTTTTATATTACATCATATTTTGTGACCTAGTTGCAACTATCAGCAAGCAATAACACCACTTAATTCCGTGTATATAACATATAAAATGTTGCACCACATGATTTTAAGCCTATTCTAAATCAGCCGGGGTTGCAGGTCAAGCGCAATGAGTCGCCGCGGCCTCAGCCTGGAGCAGGAGAAGTAACGGGGTGGTTTTTACACAGTAAGAGTCTGACTCTTCCTCTCGCCTCTCCCTGGGAGAAGTCATTTGATGATTTTGCCCCCTTCAAAAAAGGCTATTCTGAATAACGCTAGGTATCTCTAAAGAGTACGTTGTAGAGTCACAGCCTGACAGAAAACCGGCGTGAAACAATCACAGCGCTGTGTTTCGCCGTGCGAGTGAGGTTACCCGAGGCCCAATTGTTCCCCTCCACAAACCTAAAATCTCGAAATCCTTAATTAAAAAAATGTCGGCAACGCACTCGTAAATCGGGTTGTTGCGGCTGTCCATGGGTGGCGTCGATTTATTTATTTATTTATTAAGGTAATTACAACAGGTAACAATCAAAGCATGGTGATTATAACAGTATATAGGTTAAGTACTGATTGATACCCTCACGTAATCACACAACATGATGTATGTTCTAGAGTTAGCTAAATACAATAAAAAATTGAGATTTCACTATGAAATTTAAAGTAATGCAGTACAGTTTACCAAAATAAGCCCAAATGGATACAGCGATACAATGCGTATGTGTTTATAGTGTTAATGCGCAAACATTTCTCTTATAAACGGCAGCTCGTGAGTCGAAGATGTCAATGCTACTGTTTCCCGACATATCGTTATAAAGACGACACATTCTTATGATAGGGTTATAGTAAGAAGTGTTGTTTTTGTATACATTCAGTAAAAAAGTTTTCGGTGATCGGGTTTTATGTCTGGTGTTAATATCGATGAGAGAAAGCAAAGTGGAATGCTCGTTTGTCGTCCTAACACAAAAAAAAAGCTTTTCTCAGTTAATATTCACGTGAGTAAGTGCGCTATTGTAAATACATTTATTAAATTATTGTCCATTTTGATTTCAGTTAAGTGAAATTGCTCCAGTTTTGAACAAACACAATGTTAAACTGATCGGTATTGGTGTGGAGGAGGCCGGTTCTAAGGACTTCATTAATGGCAAATATTTCGATGGAGGTTCGTATTTCATAGTCAATTTCTTCTTCTTTCTATGCTCATTCTTCATTGCACGGTTAGCAGAGTAGTTGGGTGGCCAACTACTCTACAACGCCAGCCGGGGTTGCGGGGTAAGCGCAATGAGGCACTGCGACCTCGGCCCAGAGTAGGAGAAGGAACAGGGGGGTTTTTAGTCAGCAAGAGTCTGACACTCTCTCCCGCCCGGCCCTGGGCGGGAGAAGTCATTTGATAATTTTCCCCACAAAAAAAAACTACTCTACAACGTGAAGCTTGTTTGGTTCCTGAGCGAAAGTTTTTTTTGGCTAGATGTGACTTGTATGTATCTTTGTAAATGCATTCACGTAACTGGAGAAATGCATCAGGAGAACAAGTTGTGCCCCGCAGTTTCATTCATCATTCTACCTTATACATATTTACATATGTTCACCGAGGGTAGCGTAGCTTATGAATACTGGACTGCACGGTTGGCGCGGTCGCTGGGCAACGGGCTGCCGCACAACGTGTTGCGGGTTCGATTCCCGCACGGAACAACTCTTTGTGTGATCCACAGATTGTTGTTCCGGGTCTGGGTGTGATGTGCATGTGAAATTGTATGTTTGTAAACGCACCCACGACACAGGAGAAAATCCTAATGGTGGGAAAGGTTTTTATGAAAAAAAAAATTGGTCAAAATCATCAATGAAATAAATTAAATAAAACATTGCCTTATACTAGGATTTTCTCCTGTGTCGTGGGTGCGTTTACAAACATACAATTTCACATGCACAGCACACCCAGACCCGAAACAACAATTTGTGGACCACACAGCACAACAAAAATTATATTTTACAATGGCATTTCTGTGCAGATTCCTATTGAGACATTTACAAACTTAATAGGCAAAAATATTTCAAAATATTCTATACTTAAATATTTCAGATTTATACTACGTGGACAATATATCAACATATCAGCTGCTGGGCTTCAAGAGGTTTAATGTTGTGACCATAATTACGTCACTATTCTGGAAACAGTCCAGAGACGCCATTTTCAAAGGACGAGGCATGGGTAAGATGATATGAAAACTCGTATTTGGTATTCTAGATCAAAATGTAGATCTATTTTGGTAGTTAAATGTATTGTAGTAGAGTTTAGAGTTAATTAAAAAGTAGTTTATAGTGCAGGTCTCGTCGGAATTAATAACTAAAATCACAGGGATCGGTTTTTTTGGAATGAGTCAAAGGTTCCTTATGGTTACCTATCCGCATCGCCCATGGCAAAGTTAGAGTTAAAAGTTGCCGGCTTTTTAGCATAGCAAGATTGGGCATCCGGTATCCTCGCTACCGCGACGAAACATACCGCTTCTGTTGTTTCACGCCGGTTTCCTGTGAGGCCGTGACATCACTCCAGTCAAAGCTTCGCATCGCTTTTCCACATAACTTCTATAAAAATTTATGCCAAAAATAATTTCTGAATACAGAACTATTGTTTAAATAGAATTCGGCCATTACATTAATAATCGTGAAGAACGCCAAAAATAGTTTGTAGTTTGTATATTTTAATCACTAATCACCGCCAGATGTATGATTTAGAATAGACATGATTTTATTTATCTCGTAACGTATTTTCTCAAGCATTAAGAAAATAATTATAACTGACATTGAACAACGATTTCCGCATGACTAGAGGTCGCTAGTGTGTAATAAAGTCCAGTAGGAGATGTCAGTCATCTATGACGGTTACACATGTTGAACAGGACTTAACTCTACACTAGCGACATCTAGCGTACTCAAAGTGTCTTATAATACGTATGCTTAGTCAGTGGCTTTGAATAATATGGATTAGGATTTTTTAAATTCTTAGTTATTGAATTAGAAGTATAAAATTCGAAGTAGTTATTCTATATGTAAATCCGTTACCGATTGTGCCGGTAGGTGGATGGATGTTTCCTGTTCTTTTTTCTCAAAATCTGCTAAATTAAGTTCAGCGCTCGAAACTCGATAGTTTCCTATATCAAAAATAAATTGCAATTTCATACAATATTCATAGAAAAAAAAACTTCTGGATCCCTGTGACTATATCATAGTTAAAGTAAGAAAATATTGTTTTTGCAACAAATTTACAAGATACTCTACTATACTCTTCTATACCAGAGTATAGTGTGTTTAATCTGCCAAAGAAGACACATATATGAAATGTAATAGTTTTTACCAGTTAGGTGTAATCAATCCCACGCATTAGTAGATGGGAAAAAAGATAAAAAGTTTAATGACAGCTTTCCAATTTTATTGGTTTAAAACATCCATCCATCACGTAGACCAATATGTAATAAAGAAATAACATGGAGGTACGCCACAGGCCTGGAGACCGACTTAATCGGCGACGGATTACAAAATGGCGGCGCTTTATTTGTGAAAAAAGGCGGGAAATTGTTGTTCCACTTCGTGCAAATGGGCCCTGCGGACAGATACCCGAATCAGGACGTTTTGGAGGTTTCTATTTTTTCCATATTTTCTTCTTCTCTATTTCATTCAGGCTTGGGTGGAGATTTTAAGGGAGATTGGGTGCAAACCGGTGGCGCTGTGCTCGTCGGAAAGGGCGGGAATTTACTTCGCCATTTCACTCAGACTGGACCCGGTGATCATTTGTCTAATAAGGATATTTTGAAGGTTTGTATCGTTGATTTTTAATTGTCTTTATTATTTATTCCTTGGCATATTCAGGCTAATAAGCAATAAGGTACTGCGACCTCAATCTGGAGCAGGAGAAGGAACTGTGCGGTCTTAGTAAAACTGACTGACACTACCTCTCTTCTCGCCCAGGGCAAAGGAGTCATTTGATGATTTTCTTTTCTCAAAAACGCATATTGTGGCTGTATGGAAATAATTGCATATTGACCCCTACCTAACAGGCCACTTTCTAATGTAAAATAAATTAATTTTGCCGAATGTGTCAATCTCAAAATTTGTCTCATAATCAGCCTATAAGTGCCCACTGCTGAGCCCTTGCCCAGCAGTACTTAGTTAGTGCTTAGAGGCTGATTAAGAAGAGGCCCTTGCCTCTCCTTAGATGGAGAAGGTTATGAGCATTAATCACCACAGTTGCTCAGGGCAGATTGTTGATTGTTATTAGTCCATGTTTCCTGATGAGGCCTTCCTTCACCATTTGTCAGTGATGTCCAAATAAGCCTAGAAATAAATTACATTTATCTCGGAAAGTCTGACACTCCCTCTAGCCTCGCCCTGGGCGGGAGAAGTCATTTGATGATTATCCACTGACAAAAAACCTATTGTTCTCATATTGTGTCTCAAATTATCACGAATGAAAGGTTAATTATTAACATGTTACGTTTCAGCACTTCGGCCTTGAGAACGAGTATAATCCAGAGACAATGGCCAACAAGAATCCAGAGGAAAAGGAGTGCACTGTACGTTAAAGTATTTTATTATTAAAAGTATAAAGCTCAACATTGTATCTATAGATGTCATGGTTGTATAGATAGATTTATGTAGTCAAAATGAGAATGTTTTTAAGTAAAGTAGCCAAATGGTGAAACGAAACCGATTTTTACACGACTGCCCAAAAAAGGAGTGTTATGTTTTTAGGATTCATGTGTGTATGTGATTTTTTTTGTTCCACTATAACTTCTAAACGCCTGGACATAATTAGACACATAGCATTGATAAAATCCTTAAAAATTCAAAAACAAACCGCATTTTTGCGCAAAAAATCCGATTGAATCCGGCATTTCCTATCTGTACTCTAAAAAGTTAAGTCGAATTGGCAAGAGTCAATAGCGCACTCAGCGTTTGACCTCTAATAAAAAAATAAGATGGGAGAATCGTGCAAGTTCATTCTGCGGTAGTATTTTGTGGAAAGAACTACACTGGTTTAAGTGGTTATTGAATTGTAATGTGTGTCTGTCAGTCTGTTTCATCGTATATTAATCCCACCTTTTTTCACGCGAATCGATCTTGCGACAAGTTTCTCAGCAGCCATTCGTGTATTTATTCGTTTAACTAGATATATTATCAGCTTGTTATCTATTACTAGCGACTTTTACTGGTTTCGCACGGGTGCAATGCTGATACGAAATTTTCTCCTGTATATAATGGATGTTATTATACATATAAAACGTCATCTTCAATCACTCTATCTGTTCAAAAAACTGCATCAAAATCCGTTAGGATTAAATAAATTATAAAATTTATTCAAACATAATGTTTACAAAAAAAAGTAACACTAATCCAACAGAAACAAGGTTTCCTATTACAATAACGATACAATTACAGTGCTTAAATATACTAGAACTAAAATATTAATAACGGTATAATTAACAGTGATTCTACTAGGTTTAATTTAAACCTGTGTTTCAGGTCATCACATTACAGTCCAGTTTCATTGCGGCAGTAAAATTTTAAGTTTGAGTTAAACTATTATAAAGATTTAAGCATAGACAGTGATATAGGGATAGAGAAAGCGACTTTGTTTTGTTTGTAGTGCTAAGTACTACAGTAGAATTCATGTACTTAGATACCATCGTAGTTAGTGTAACATTAATTGACATTGCTCTAATTATCACTTTTTCAGACAGAGGCGAAGCCCTAAGCAGTGGTTGGTTGTACTACAAGAACATTCGCTAGCCCCCATACATACAATATGGACGGAACGGCGATGTAAACGAAGTTGGGTGTAGTTTCCAATCCATTGACGATTTTATATGACTATAATTACTCATGAGACTGATGTAACCCGCATTGGTTTGTGGGCAAGCGAAATTGTAAGTTATTACTTGTATTTAAGGCCGTAAATTGCGTGCCTTAGTATAGTGAGTAATGGGTACGCGAAATTCATCGTTGTACTTGGGATTTTAAGGTTGAGATTTCCTTGGTCTTATTATAGGACTTGTAGAAACTGTAATGAATAAATGGATTAACCAAATTATTGGTTATTTCCAGAAGACTAAGGTTTAGAGTTGCTTATGTTTCAATTCAGGGTAAAATTGAATTTAACATGTAAGGTGGTCGTTCTAAATTAGATAGTAGCTTTGATTTCTTAAAGAAAATTTCAAGTTGACCTTTAAAAGGTGATTTGGGCTTAAAAGCGAAGTCGATAAAGTCGTAAATGGATTGTGTCCTACAAATTGACTGAATATTAAAAATAAGTGTTATATTTAATTATAAAATATATTCCGGGTGGATGGTGTCTTATGGTATTGTCGTATAAAAGTATGTTACTATAAATAAAGTTAATCTAAACATTGTAAACTTAATAAAGTTAAAAATTCTTATCGCTATCGATTCAGACAACGGAGGATTGGGGAGCGATAGATAAATAACCTTATTCCGACGGTATAAAGTTCATGATAGCTTGGGAAGAGTGTTATTGGGTAATTTCGGGTTCTCGGAAGGTCTACTTTTAGGCTTAGCCATGGAATCGATTTAAAGTTGAAGATTGCCCCACACTATTATTTTCTCCTGCATGGTGGGTGCGTTTACAAACATACAAATTCATATAAGTACCCGAAGTAAAAATTTGTAAATCACACAAAATGTTGTGCCCGTGCGATGCGATTCCGTAGTCAGTAGGATGTTACATCTTTTTTATGGTGTGTGAAAATTAGGTATCAGTTATGTATCACAGGATCTCGAAAACGGCTTCAAAGATTTCGATGAAATTTTACAATGGATCCTGTATATATAGCTGGGTTTTATTTTAGAAAAAAAAACAAAGCTCTTTCATTCAGACATTGTCTAAATGTTATACAAAACACATAACTCCTCCTTTGAGCAGTCGGGTAATACCTACTAATCCTTAGTTGTCTGAAATCTTTATTAAATTAAAATATCCTTTATCACATAAATACAAAATTATCTTCTAAATTCTCATTGAAAACATATCTATAGCACAGAAGTTTTTTAAGACATCAAGTGGCATACATTGACAGCGTTTTCTATAATTTTAATTTTGATTATTTTATATATTTTTATTAATTATTATTGTCGAATTATTATACCTTAAGTCAACCGCACAAATGTCGACCTTATGTTAATACGAATAAGGGTTTTCGTCACTCATTAATTCCCTCGGTAGTTAGCTGTATTGTCGTGTTAATAAGGTTTAGTTTAGCGTGACTTTTGTGTGGTTACTTACGTCTATCGATAATAGTTTTAATGTCTTTTTTCTATCATATATGTCGCTTTGACAATTTATTTATAAATAATAATAATAATAAGAATTGGCTTCAACAAAGTTTTGCAATTTATAAGACTGCTAATTGATTCCAAATTGTTTACTTAAGGAGGCTAAAGTTATTATTTATTTGATAATTAATTGTGTTTAACGGCTTACGCACGTAACTGTTTAACGAGGTAGCTCGACTGTTTACAAGCCACGCCTGGAGCTCATATTCTTGAGCAGCTTTACACGAGACACAAAAGACGTCGCGCAGACAACATAATTCAGTCGAGGTTTTTTTGTGGAGGGATAATCATCAGGTGACTTCTCTAGTTGTGGAGAGTGTCAGATTCTTTCTGACTAAAAACCCCCTCCCGTTCTTTCTCCTGCTCCGGGCCGAGGTACCATATCCCGCTTGGACTCGCAACTCCAGCTTTCTAGTCACAGACTCTTTCTGACAACCCCCCCCCCAACCGTTCTTTCTCCTGCTCCGGGCCGCGGTACATTATTCCGCTTGGACTCGCAACTCCAGCTTTCTCGTCAGACCGCGTGAGTAAGCCGTAAAAGATAATTAAAATATTTTTTTCTTATAAAATAAATTCAAAGTTATATTCATTGGTACGTTAGAGCCTGTTTCATCTTTTTCTATATAGGGTGACTGTGACTGGTGTTTTAACACGGGATTGTACTCGTAAATTACGAAATTTTGCCAAAGAAACTTTTTTTGTATTGGCTATGTGCGAGTAGTGGCGGACAGATAACGTCCGCAGCGCACAACACGGCAGAAATTGGAAACAAATGCGGACGTTCAGCTATCGGTTTTTATTATTATATTCATTTTACAGTAAACCTATTGAATAAATTGCACTTAAATAATGTCAACAATACTATTTTATCTTTGGTTTTATTTATATTTGCAAAGAAAATTATAATGTTTACATTGTTGTTATTTGACAGCTTCCGAAAATGTTGTAAACGCTACGCGTCGCCACCGTCGCGCACATAGCCAATACGATTAGTTCTATTTTTATTACTATAGTAAAATGAAGGCTCGCTTACAAAGTTCTTTTTCGAGTTTAGAAAAAGGTTTCTTTGGAAAAGTTGTTTGTTATCATGAGTACAATTACCTGATTAAATACCAATCACTCTATGTTCCGGATAAAGTTATCTAGAACATAGTTCATACAATAAAATTCTATATGCATATTTATCTGGTATATAGACACTGTCAATCAGGTCTTTAAAATTAGTTGGTATCTTCTTCCAGAGTTTATACAAAGTTTTTTTTTAAATTAGTAATTTATAAATATATTTATGTATATTTTTAAGATGTTTTTTGTGTAGTACATGTGTTTAGAGTTGACTGTTTTTTCTCTTTGTATTTTATGTCGAGATATTTATGTTATACGCTCTTAGCGTTAATAAATGGTTATATTCTGTATTTGTGTTTTTTTCGTATAGTTATGTGACTCGACGCCGTCGAGGTCGACCACGGCGAAGGTGGTGTGACGATCTGATCATGTACGCGGGGCAAACTTGGCCGGAGATCGCTCTAGACAGAGAAATTTGGAAGGAAAAAGGGGAGGCCTTTGCCCAGCAGTGGGACACACGATAGGCTATAAATATCTATATATAATAAATATATAGTTATGTGACTTGGTTTCTTCCTGTAGCTCTCTCAAAAGGGATATTGTAGCTCTCCAACTACGAGATTTTTTTCAAATCGGTTAAATAGTTTTAGATCCCAAACAATCAATTAATAATATATTCTTTATAATATAATTATAGACTAGCGACCCGACCCAGCTTCGCATGGGTACAATGCTTATACAATTTTAACACACACAAGACTTCCTCTTCAATCACTCTATTTATTAAAAAACTACATCAAAATCGGTTGCGTAGTTTTAAAGATTAAGCGTATACACAGGGATATAGGGACCGATAAAGCGACTGTTTTATACTATGTAGTGATAGTAATATAATGGTTATTACAGGTTTTGTTGTGATTTCATGTTTTTTCTTGTACGAATAAGAATTTGGAGTATTACTTATTTTCTCATTGTTTCCCGACACTACCAGAAAAAAAGCTAGGATAATTGGTTTCTTTCCCGAATTATGCTAGTTTAGGTAATAGATTAGTAAAGTTCCATACCTATTTACTAACCTTCCCGTTGATGATATTAGTAGGACTAAAATAGGTACAAAGGGGCGTAACACAAAAACGAAGGTACTTGAATCATAAAAAATATGCTTCAGTAATAAGGTTCAATTTAGAAATACCGTCTTTCACATGTTACTTCTGTTTTCTATGAAACATGCGAATTTTGCATTGTATTATAAAGAAAACTAACTTAAGTTTTGATAACTTAATTAAAATTGTTATTAAATATTAATCTTCTGGTCAGAGGTTATCTAGCACGTTATTTACTAAGATTTATACAATTGACCTCTGAAAGGTTAAAAGGGAATTTCCAAGTGTTGGTGACTTTTTGCTATGCGACTGAATGCATGACGAGGACCCGGTTTGAGCTCTGACCCAGGGAGAACATTAGAAAAGTGTGGGAGATGCTTTCACACTCACAGAAAACCGGTGTGCAGCAACAATAACTTCGTGTTTCGCTGTATGAATGACGTTATAGGATGCTCAACCCTTCCCTTCCTTCACTAAGGGTATTAGGGCGTCCCTCAGTCCTCGAATCCCTTATCCTTCATATAACCCACAAGAGGCCTGGCAACGCACTTGTAGTACCTCCTTTGGTATGACGAGTGTACATGGGCGGCGCTGATTGCTTATCACCAGGTAATCCGTCTGCTCGTTTGCCGGCATAAAAAAGGTCGTATGTCGTATGAATTTTGGGTACAATGAAGGAGTTTGGAGGTAGATGTTTTTTTAATGGCTAAGGTCGGCAAACGAGCAGACATATAACTTGATCTAACTACGTCAAAATCCTAGTAAGGAAAAAGCTACCGTCAAAATGCTTAGAAGTTTATGAAAAACAAAATACGCGACACATCATTAGCTGATAAGTGTCCACACTGCTGAGCAAAGGCCTCTTTTCACACGGAGAAGGTTTAAGCATTAATCACCACGCTTACTCAAGGCGGATTGGCGATTTCACACTTATAGTTAGAAATTGTAAGCCCAGGTAGGGAACCTGGTATAATACCCGAGCTTATGGCGCGTAGCGTTCCGCGAGCGCCTCAAAGAGATAATGGACCACCACAGACGGGCCCCTATAAGGCCAAGGCTGATGTTCAGCCGCGGTTGCGGGTTAAGCGCAATGAGTCACCGCGGCCTCGGCCCAGAGCAGGAGAAGGAACGGGGGTGTTTTTGGTCATTAAGAGTCTGACACTCTCTCGCCTTACCCTGGGCGGGAGAAGTCATTTGATGATTTTCCCCTGACAAAAAAAGGTTTCCTCATGATACTTTCCTTCGCCGTATTTCAGCGAACTTATAGATATAGTAAGTTCGATGACATGACACCATGCGGTATCAAAGGCCGTTTGTAATTGATATCTACCTCTCTAGACCTCAAGACCTTAAGGGTATTATTACATAAAGTGCATATCTCAAGCGTCTCAATGAATCAGGGTGTAAGTGAAATTGGGTGAACAAGTAATTTAATTTATGTTTACGGTACCTACTAGCCTGCGCCCGCACCTTCATACGCGTATAAATGTAATGTATGGATTTTAAAAACAGAAGCATTTAAAGCGATAGCTCGACTAAAATGGACAAATCAAGTATAATTTAAAGCCTGTAGCACATTTATCAGTGAATGAAAGAATTGTGGAAATCAGTCAATCGGTTCCAAAGATTACAACCTACATACTTACTTAAATATTTTACATTTATACAATATTAGATAGATGAACTTCCCAGTTCATAATTTGAGCGCGACTAGCAAGCGGTGTTGGGTCCGATTCTTGGGTTTTTATTTATGGAATAGGTCGGCAAACGAGCAGGCGGACGGTGGATGATCAGCGCCGCCCATGGACACCCGCAACGGAGGAGTTACGAGTGCGTTGCCGACCTTTTAGGGATTACCTAGGGTTTTGGAGATTTAGGGATTGGGAGGGATCGGGGGAGGGGAAGGATTGGGCTTCCGGTAACCTCACTCACACGGCGAAACACAACGCTGTGGTTGTTTCACGTCGGTATTCAGTGGGTCGAGAAAAATCATTCGTTTTGATTTTCAAGACGAGTAAAGAATTGTTGCCTTTTGGAAATTCTGTGTCATGGATTGTCCACAAATGGTGTACAGTGTGGTTCATGAATTTAGATGTAGGTATAGCATTTCAGTATACACAATGTGTACATCACGTGTCAGACCCTTACCTCTTGCTGACTAAAGACCACCCTATCCTTCTCCTGCTTTAAGCGGGCCCGGGGTTCATAATACTCTTCCATCTGCAATCTCGACTGGAGAACGGCCTTAGTGGGCCACATTATCTAGTGATAATTTGATATTTCTGTAGGACACACGATGAATTCGCCCCACGAGACCGAAACCGCCGAAAATGCACTTGTTTTTATAATAACTATCGTGAGACATACTAAATTAACTAAAATTCGCGGGTTACTCGACGTCGCCGCGTCCGCGCACGCTGCTCATGAGGAAGAACCCCTCTGTGGTTCGAAACTAGTAGAGCTTTTCTCAACATTTACACGTGAGTAACCCGCGAATTTTAGTTAATGAAAATGCACTTATTTAGGTTTCGTATAATTTCATATATTTCGTATCAGTACCTACAAATTTTCGAAATTACTCTTATTTATGATAAAATAAAACGCTGTATCCATCTATCTATATTCAACATGCTCATCTTTGTTTACCACTTCAAATGCATATTACGTGAAACAATTTATGTTATACTCGTAAACAAATTCAAACTAAAAGAAACACACAGATCGAATCACATTTTGAACTTGCGCCCTCACCTCCAAGCGACGTCGCGTCTCAAATTGATAATAATAGCTACGCAATATATTTTATCATTTGTCAAACAATATAACTGGATTCAACACGCGTTTATAACTTAGTAATTATAATTTACGTGTTAATTGTATGAAAATAGTATAGGTAATTAAGTAAAGTTTGAATTCCAGTTTTGAAGAAATTGCCTAAGTGAAATTTGTGTTACCTATTATGAGTTTAAATTTGTGTGAGTATATTTTGACGTTTTCTTTTTAGTTTTCGTTTTGTTTCGAATGTTCTCGAATGTGATAGAAATATATTTGTTTAGGTATAATTTATGCGTTTTGTAAGCGTGTTGATAAGTATGACCTTTCGATTTATTTAATTAATAGCTGTGATGGCATTGTGTTTGTTATTTCCCGGTTTAATGCAGTGGTAAATAAATTAAGAGGGACAATTTTCGCAAGCTAATATCGGATCAGCATCTGATGTCCCATGTAGACCATGTAGTATCTTAATCATTATCATCAGCCGTAAGTGTCCACTTTTGAGCAAAGGCCCTCTGCTTACACGAAGAAGGTTTGAGCATTAAATTATTACTTGCTCATGAAGGATGGCGAATTATAAGGTCTTTCTTTACCAATTCTTCTGTATTTACTCACTTGTTTTTGGTGTCAAAAAAACTTATAAAGTACTACATATAACTTGGAAAAACTCACGGGCCTAAGCTAGATAGGTACTTGTTAAAAGTAGTAAAGCGTAAAATAGTATATTCAAATTTAGTGACATGCACTTTATGCATTTTCAAAAATTGTGCAAGCATTTGCTGAGATTTCTTAAGAATCTTAGTTTACGTCGATTAATTCAACAAAGCAGTCAAAATAAATTTAAATAAAGTAACAACTCTTATTTAGAGTTAACACAGTCAAAAACGTACTTCATTCATTCCATTTTTTCGTCGTAATTTAATATCCAGCAAGTTCACTTAATAAACCTTATTTATTTTTCTTTCAGAGAGAAAATGAAACACCTCCTAATCCTGTTCGGCCTCTCGGCTTTAACGACTGTAATATCCGGCAAAAGCCATTGTCACGCCTGCTTCGACAGCATTTGCTATTCCAAAGCTCGAATATTTCAAAACTATCCAATATCCGGCCAATTAGCCGTCGACAGAGTCGCCAATGTTGTTTATTTTCACTATGAAGACACTCAGCCATTAGATCACACTGTTGCATTTGATTTACACGATATTAGATTCTTGAATATCCCGGGTATTCAATTTTCCTTCGCTCGAGCCGTTGACCAGGCGACGAGAGAAGCCTATATCGGTGGTGCTAATGGCATTTACAAATACAATCCAATTACAAACGTAACGACTCACTTCGCCTTAAATAATAAAACAATTTGGCATATGCAATTTAAAGATAAGATTTACTACACAATATTCATGACTAAAGGACTTTATACGTACGAAAAGAAACAATCTAAACCTGTGGTAGCGTTGAAAGACTACACGATAGATGATTTTATCGTGGATAAGAGGGATGATATTTATTTCATGAGCAATTTCACTGTTTATAAACTGAAAAAGGGGGAAAATAAGGTCACGATGTTCTCCACTATAATATACTCTCTGACTACAGATATAAATGACAATGCATATTTCATACAAAGAGATACAAGAGGGTTGTATAAAATTGACTATAGAACTGGAAGACTGACCGAGGTCGGTGCTTTTGGGAGCGGATCGCCTTTTAGAACTGTTTTCGACAATTTCAACAATGTGATTTATTATGACGGAAATAGTGATGAGCTGTTTTATCTAACACCGAACTACGGACGCTGTAAAGTGACTGATGAAGGGAAAGGGAGGAAATTGAAGAAAAAGGTGTCTTCGTATTTTGATAGTGATATTTGATTAATATTCGGCTTTCGGCTTTAATTGGTTTAGCCGAATATTGAGTGATGGGACGTTATAGAGTGTAGAGAGGTTAAGTATTTATTAAAATGTGTTTGTAATGTAAAATAAATATTTTTGTGATATTTTATTTTATGTTTGTGGTTTTTTTTCTAGTTAATTGATTATAGCGGTTATCAGGTTATTGTTTGTTTTAATACAGCGTGAATATTTTTATAGGTAAGTTTTAAGCTAATTCCTTAAATTACGTTTTATTTGTTGTGTGTGCTGAACTAAAATAGGTACATAACTGTCCTTATACAATATCACTGAAGTACCCACAGAAAACAACGCTTGCATCCCAATCTCTATTATCCCCAATTCCCAATCCCCAAATCTTTTTATCCCCTTTAAAGTCCCTAACGCAGTTATAGGAGAAACAATGAAACAATGAAACAATAAATTTATTTTTGTAAATAGGCCATAAAACGGCACTTTTACACGTGAAACAGGTAACCGATTGCTTACCATCAGATATTCAGTCAGTTAGTAAGGATCCTATAAAAAGACAGTGCAATTGCCCCGCAGTTTTGATCACAATCCAAACTGCGGGGCAAGTCTATCAATTTGTAATGATATTGAGCACTACTATGATAACCCATTTATTTACTTTCTCAAACAAATAAATAAATCATCATGTTTGTTTTGAAGTAAGTACTAGCCCGGGTGGCAGGGGCACGTGGAATAATGTACAGCAGCTACGATTCTAAGCAGCAGAAGGAACAGAGTGAATTTTAGTCAGTAACAGTTTAAGTGTGGGAGAGCCATGCTTCGGCACGAATGGGTCGGCTCGACCGGAGTGATACCACGGCCTCACAGAAAACCGGCGTGAAACAACCACAGCGTTGTGTTTCACCGTGTGAGTACGGTTACCGGAGGCCCAATCCCTCCTCAATCTCTAAATCTCCAAATCCCTAATCCCTAAAAGGTCGGCAACGTACTCGTAACTCCTCCGTTGCGGGTGTCCATGGGCGGCGCTGATTACTTACCATCAGGTAATCCGTCTGCTCGTTTGCCGACCTGTTACATAAAAAAAATGTTTGTGCTGAAGTTAGTACTCTGAGTAGCCCGGGCTGTGTGTTAAGTGCAATAGATAATGTAACAAGGCCCCGACTTGGAGCAGGAGAAGGATCGGTGTGGTTATTAGTCTAGTTAGTGTGATGTGGACAATCTCTCAGGCCTATCCAGGGCGGTAGAAGTAAATTTGTGTCATTACACTAATCAAAAAGAAAAAGAAAAAAGTAAGTAGAAGAAAGGATTTTTTTGGATAAGCCATTGCGAATCTGGATACGGACATGGATTTTGTGGTGGTTGGTTTGGATATGGTTTTAGTTAGGACTTTATTTACCTCCGACGCAAAAAGAGGGGTGATCATGCTTAATGAAAGTGGGGAAGAAAAACCGAATGTCTGAAATATGCTCAAGTGGGGTATCAAATGAAAGGTTTATGACTTGTACGTCACAAAAACAACAATTTTAATGAGTTTGACGTGTCTGTCTGTGTGCCTGTTGCATCATAGCTCCTGACAAAGGTTACTTAAGTGTGAGTGTTCTTAGACATGTTTGATAATCATTTGAGCCGTTTAAAATTTGTGAGGGGTGAAAATGGGGAAGAATTACCGAATGTCTATAGGTAAATATGCTCCAGTGGGGATTCAAATGAAAGCGCTTTACGTGTACATTTTTTTTTATGTGTCAGGGTTTTTTAATTTATATTATTTTAGTTACAGATATCAGCATATGTATGCACATGTATGTTATACACAGGTATCCTATAGCCGATTATTATCCAGTTTTTTATCAGAACCGCTGAATACTGAATTCTTTGTCTAGTCTGTGTTCCCTAGAGGGTGTAACCTGGAAATCTTCAAGGCTCGAGTGAATAGGTTGTTTATGGGTAGGCGTCTGATGACGCATCGCTTGTCATCAGGCGAGATTGTGACCAAGTATTGGCCAATATAATATAAAAAAAAATTACGAAAAACAAGCGGGTTGCGGGTTAAGCGCAATAAGTCACCGCGGCCTCGACCCAGAGCAGGAGAAGGAACGGGGGTGTTTTCAGTCAGTAAGAGTCTGACACTCTCTCTCGCCTTGTCCTAGGCGGGAGAGGTCATTTGATGATTTTCTCCTGACAAAAAAAAGTACGTAGAAATACTGACCTTCATCTGAATCCACTTAATTAAGGTGGGTTAAGACTTAGGGGATTCAAGGCCGAACCCAATCAAATTAGGAAACGGGGTCTAATATAATTATCGCTTTATATATATATATTGACATTGATATATTATGTATGTTAGTATGTTCTTCTATAAAAACTACTCATTACAATTTGGTATTACATAAATTAAATAAGTAAATATTTACATTTTAAATTGTTATCAAATTCCATGTACTGTGCAAGGTTGGGTCATGATCAAGTTTGTTATGATAACATCGGACCAGTGATTCCTCGAAGTGGTGACAGAGGTGAAGGTACAAATTACATATCAACATCCATACCCCGTGGTATTCCGTTTGAGAAAGAGTACAGGACCCGTAGTCCAACAGGTACCGGCCACCACAAGGGTCTGCTGTCGGCGAGAAAGGGTAGCTTGCCACCCGACAAGAACCAGACCCGAGCGCACGGCGCGTCGCATTCCGCGCGCGCGTCAAACAGCCAATAGACCACCACAGACGGGGCCCCATAGTTCCGATGTTAAGCCAGGGTTGCGGGGCAAGCGCAATAAGGTACCCTGGGCTCGGCCTGGAGCAGGTGATGAAACAGGGCCAGGGGAGTTTTATGTCAGTAAGAGTCTGACATTTCCTCTCGCCTCACCCTGGGCGAGAGAAGTCATTTAATGATTTTCCCCTCACAAAAAAAAAAAAAAAATACTACGGGTCCTGTACCGTTCCTTTTCATGAGAGGATTTTGCCACCAGGATTTTGCCACGTATTGCACTTGCATCCGTATCCCGAGCTGGATATCGGCCCTGGTGGTTTCCTTCTATGGTGGTCTCATGCTTTTTGACGCGAGGCGCATATGTAACAGTAGTTTCCTCGAACGTTGCGCCTCTTCCTTTGCGACGACTGCTTCGCAGAAGGAGAAGACGGTGTCCTAGTTCCTCTTGCTGCGCACCATGGCCTCAACTAAATCCGGGCGCAAGAGGTCGCCGCCGTCAATCGCTTCTCTGAGGACACGGCATTGTTCAGACCAGGCAGTGCATACCACCACCTTATGCTTTACCGTGACCTCCGGGTGGTCCTCGCAGGTATCTAACTATCGCCCGTCCCGATCGTATGTCCCGAAGGTTTTTAAAAATCTCAAACTAAAAACTAACCTATGTTGAACTCTTGAACTTTAAAAAGCGACACACAGACAAACAAAAAAACATACGATTACGCATTTCCTCTTCATTCTAGCTTAAACTAATGGCTTCTTCCGCAGTATACCAGGGTAAGAATTGAAATTAGCCTTTTATAGAATCCGGCGTACCTTTGCGGAAATCCATGACATTAAATGTTAGGAAAAATATTTAGTTTTGTCGCGGAATAAAAACTAAATTTAATGAAATTAGCCTATTTGTCATTCCAGACTATAATCTATCTCTGTGTCAAATTTCATTTAGATCTGTTCAGTAGTTTCTATGTGAAAGAGTGACATATATCTATCCATTCTAACAGTTTTGAATTTATGATATAAGAAGAATTTATGGTAGTTACATGAAAGGAAATTATTATTTTCCTTCAAGGAAATTATTCTTCCTATACTTGAAGCTACTTATACATACTGTATCAAATGTCTATTATTTGATTTCGTTTTGTTATGTTATGTTACGCTAATCGGCTGACGATATCAGATGGCATGTAAACAATACCTGGGGAACATCAACACGGAATTAGGGAGCGTTTTACTAACGCGATTATGCTTGCGACTGAAAATCGCAAGTTTAGATTGTCACTTGTCAAGTATAGAAAAGAAAGGTGATGTTACAATTAGTGACATCTAGTACTTAACACTTAGACAGAGTAATAAATATTGTTCGATAAATACACAGAACAGAAAATTAAGTAGAAGTGCCCCTACACTCTTTCAAAAGGAAAACCAGTGTCGCCAAAATCACACATTCGCAAATCAAATTATCCATTACACACATAAAAAACAGCTATATAATTGGGTAAAAAGATGAAACGCAACTTTAGCAAATGATCTTCTAAATGTTGTTAAAAATTGAGTCTTATAACAATGACCGAAAGTTGTTATCATTTCACATGTCACAATTAATAAAGGCGTCTATCGTGTAAAAACCTTAAATAAAACAATTTACAAACGGGTTCAGCCACTCAACGCTAGATGGCGCTGTAACAAATTCATTCTATTCAAAACGCTAACTTCTTTGAAATAGATGTCATATTTGTATGCACTTGTACCAATAGACATTTACTATTTTGCTACTCAGATAGGGCAGGGTATCCCAATATATCGATGTTTTTGTATTCGTGTGAGCAATATAATTTATCGACACGATATACCTACAAATGATCAGTAATGAAAAAGATTCTAATAGAAAAAAAGAAAAATATTAACATATTTTTTGAAGATTTAATGTTTTTTGGAGATGGTCAAGTTATTATTTAAGATTTCGATTTTAACATATAAAAGCACTACGCGCTCCTACAAGTTTTATCTCCTTTCCAACTAAAATAGAATCATTAAAATCGTTCATAAATAACGGAGACGAAAAAACAAAAAAAAAATGTTACCGTCGAATTGAGAGTCACTCTCCTTTTTGGAACTCTGATAAAAATCATGTACAACATCTATACTTATAATAAATCTGTAGAGGGGTCAATTGTGTACATTAAATATATTTTCAAAATAACTACCAGGGTGTGATTAGTGATCGATACTGATGCCAAAAATGCAATCAGTAAAAATTTTGTCTGTCTGTCTGTCTGTCTGTCTGTCTGTCTGTCTGTCTGTATGTTCTTTATAGAAACAAAAACTACTCGACGGATTTTAACAAAACTTGGTACAATTATTCTTTATACTCCTGGGCAGGTTATAGGATACTTTTTATCACGCTACAAATAATAGGAGCAGAGCAGTGAAGGAAAATGTTGGGAAAACGGGAGAAGTTACTCCCTTTTGTAAGTTTCAGTCGCGTGTGTAACCTTAATGGTTAAACTTACATAGAAATTATGTATGATGGAAATATTTTAAATAAAATTGTCTAAAAAAAATGTTTTACAGCATATGTCTATCGTTTATGGTTAACTCACAATAGCACGTGTAACTCCTGATAGCTTAGCAATTCGGATAATAAGACATAGCGCCGTCGCAAGTGAACACTGAATCATGGTATAAGAATTATTTTTGTGTAGCGGTTGCCGTGCTCGACACGATGCGGTATAAAATATAATATAATATAGGTTTTATCAAATATTTGTAACTCTTACCTATTAGTTAGATCCGTGCCTTTCTATCTATAGACGGACGGACTGTGGAGACTTAGTAAGTAATAGGGTATTTACCCTTGGAGATGTACCCATAAAAATGAGACGATAAATACCAAATTTTATGTATACTTAGATTTTGTTCTATTGCTATTTGCTGCTTTTTATCAACACAGCACGCGGGCGAAGCCGCTGGCGAAAACTAGTTATAAAATAAAAATGGTGATTAACCACCCGCACCTGCCACAGACGGATGCACGCTGTGTGTGGTTAAAACGTTGATGTGTCTATGCAATCTTAGTTAAACATTTATGAATTATACACAAAAATTGACAAAAATCAATTTTCTGAACGATGATGATGAAAAATTATCGATATGAACCTATTTTACGAATATGTCGCATCCCTAAATGAGTAGCGTCGAAACTACTAGAATGTATTGTATATAACGTCACATAACGAACAAGTAGATTTAAACTTAATTGTAATGAAAATAAGGCCCTTTATAGTTTGCATTGAAGTAATGAAATGTGATATTTACATTAAAATCAAATATATTTAAAATTAACAAAGGTTAATACTCAAAGATGATACGATACACCACCACAAGACTCATCTTTTTTTCTGCTTACTTTTTTGCAGTTGAAAACCGCACAACAAGGCATAACTTCTAATATATTTCGTGTTTCTTAGAGACAACCATGACAACCAATCATGACAACGGATCGAACGATTCTGACAACAAATGTGCCAAAATGTTGTATATCTAGTCATCATGTTGGTTAGCGCGCGATGTCTGAGCGGCACTTCCACTGTATTCTCTATTCCGTGGATAAATAAAATACTTTTTTCAATTTTTTTTGTTATACTGGGATTGTATCGTCTGATAACATCCACCTGGGTTAGGCGAGATGGATTGTCAGTGTCAGAATCTTACTGACTAAATACCACATCATTCCTTCTCTGGCTCTGGGTCAGGGCCACAGTACATTGTTGCTATTGTACCCGGAACCCTATCTGGACATCGGTCTTATTGGACCCCCTCTGTGATGGGTCGTGGAGGCGAGCACACAGGAAGAAAACTGTTGTTACCATACGGTGAATGCAATGGGCATAGATAAAATCTTAAATACAAACCCGAAATCCAACTGATATTAAAAATGTGAATGTTCTTGAGAACTTATTAATGTATGTTTGTTATTCTTTCACCCAAAAATGACTGAATTGATTTTTTGTGGTAGTAATTTGGTGTATAAATAGGTGATTTCCTGGATTAAAACTCTGGTGGCTTTTTATTTACATACCACGCGGATGAAGCTCCTGGCGTAAGCTATTACACAATAATACTTCGCTAGATCTAACCAAAGACTTCTAACTTCTAACTTAAAGATTAGTTTTAAGTCAACTACAATACTCAAAGCAACGCAGTCACCATGTCCAAATTATTTGTGATGAAAATGTAAGAGATTTTATTTGCGAATAACAAATTTCAGTACCATGCCAACTTTTGAAGACAAAGTATACTCTCAAATTAGCGCAACGAGATACCTAAACTTTCCAAATGATTTTATTCAACTTCCAACCGTATGTCTACTAAAAATAAGGTTGAGAAATAATCAAAGATGTGTCTCGGTTGGGTATAACTTGGCTTGCTGTCTTTCCGTACACGACTTACATAAATCTATGTTAGTCAGCACAACTTTGTAACTTGTCATACGGATTATTTTCAGGCTGTAACCACTTGTACAGAGTTCTAAGTTCGCTGAAGAAAGATTAACTTAGTTATAAGTTGCGACACTGTTTTATGACTTGACTGCGAATTTTATATGAACATTTCTGATTTTCAACAGCTTGAGAAGAGTCTTGGAGATTTAGACTACACTTGCTTTTGCACCTTCACTTTCGACTCATATACCATACCTACTATGCCTTACTCTACCCTACTATAGTATACCTCACCCTATTTACCTTACCTTATTTATCTTACTATAACTACCTAACCTTTTTTACTTACTCTACTTACCTAATACCACCTTACTCTTACTTGAAAGCACTTCTACTGATAATAACAACGCTTCCGTCAAGATTTAGCGATTTATTTTTGTGCTATAGATATCTCACTGCTCCTTCAAACAACAGCAGTGGTGTACTTCACTTTCTTTACTTCTGAGCCCGATTACAATTGGGTAGTTTGCTAGGTCAAAAATAAATAATTTAGATGTTTAAATACAACAAAATATTCAAAAATAACTATACTTTTATTCATTGATCGATCGATATAGTAATTTAGAGATTTTTTAGCTAATTATTAAGAAATAAGTAAGCTATTTGACGCAAAAAAGTTATGACGTCATAGCTCAGTTTTTCATACAAATTTCATGGAAAATTATCGTTTTTGACGTTTGGATAAAAGTATTGAAATTGACTAGTTGGAAACTACCGTATTATGATTATTAATCACCACGATTACTCAAGTCATTTTAAAGTTTTATTCGGTTTTTCAAACTTTAAATTTTGTAATTGATAGTTGCTACGCCTCGAGTCGTGATGTCATTCTTCATTTCTAATCAATATTGACGAACATATTTCATTCCGTAAGGATAGAAAATTTATTTGTAAAGGATAAAATTAATGTACAAGAGGGAAATTAAAAATTAGCAATCATTAAGCGACTTTTAGACACAAAATAAAACCTTTTGTTTTACGTCATTTTTTTGTATGAGCACATTAATCGCAGAAAAAAGTCGCACTATTGGAACACACCTTTATCGATATATTGATCTTTCGTGATACTTACTGCCGAGGTTAGTTTTATCTAGTGGATACAGTGGATAGCCAGCAGTAGTTCTTCCAATCCTAGCGACCTTTACTCCATTCTGATCCAGGAATATATTTCTAATGGTAAGTCAAGAAATATTTTAACTAGTATATCAACAGAAAAAAAAATCTTAAGAATTAGAAATTAGAAGAAAAATATACGGAAATAAGACTTCTATTTTCATTTTATTTGTTTTAATTTCTATTTAATACATTGATTTTTGTTTTATATAGACCAAAATATTTCTTTTTGGCTTCTTATTGTCTTAGGGATTTTTTTTAATGGTTAGATAAAAGTGACCTGGGGAATAATTATGATGCTGTCGCGTCAGAATGTTTGTATAAGACAGTGACAGCAATAATTTTATTCCTCAGATAACATTTATTTGACTATTGAAAAAATCAGCCAGCATATATTTTTTAAATTTTCAATATACATTTTTCTATATTTGACTGACCAGGTTCAGGTGGTTTACTAAAGGTAAATAATCTTGCTATGTCTTGTATGTGCTATGCTATGAAAAAATAAAATACATAGAAAGATTCTTTAAATTTGGTTCGTTATCTAACATTGATTTAGTGAAATATTTGTTTGTAAACATTTTTACATAATATAACTTTTAGTTAACTCTTAAATAAAAATCATGCCATGATTTTTATAACACATTTAGGGCTTATTTTTCAATGGTTAGATAAAAGTGACCTGGGGAATAATTATGATGCTTTCGCGTCAGAATGTTTGTATAAGACAGTGACAGCAACAATTTTATTCGTCAGATAACATTTATTTGACTATTGAAAAATCAACCCCTTGGTCCAGAGCAGGAGAAGGAACGGGGTGGTTTTTAGTCAGTGAGAGTCTGACACTCCCTCCTGCCCGCCCTTGGGCGGGAAAAGACATTTGATGATTTTCCCCTCACAAAAAAGCCCCTGGTGAAAAACCAGACCATAGTTATTATTTTAGAGAGTCTAGGTAAATCATTAAACTCTAGTTAGTATGAATTTCGTCAGTTCCATGTATTGACATCATTTGCAGTCTTTCACAGGAAACATAAATTAAATAAAACCTTGTAATAATAAAAGAATAATACATATCCACCAGTCCATAGCAACCCATACCTATAACCCTATCAATTTTTACCACATTTCTTTTATTTCTTTAATTTCTTGATTTTTTTTATTTCTTTAATTTTTCCGTGTAGTTGTCCATGCTGGTGGTGGCCGCCCTAACAAGGATAAGCTGTATTCATACGATGCCATCTTACGAGAATCAGTATTATGTAAGTAGTATATAATATAACCAATATTTTTTTCGTGATAGTCATTTCTTTTGGTATAAGGACGAATCTATTGACGTACATCAAAAAAGAAAGTGTGGGAGAGCCAAGCTTCGGCACGAATGGGTCGGCTCGATTGCAATGATACCACGGCCCCACAGAAAAACGGCGTGAAACAACCACAGCGTTGAAATTCGCCGTGTGAGTGAGGTTACCGGAGGCCCAATCCTTCTCCTCTCCCGATCCCTCCCAATCCCTAAATCTCCAAAACCCTTATCCCTAAAAGGTCGTCAACGCACTCGTCCGTTGCCGGTGCCCATGGGCGGTGCAGATTGTTTTACCATTAGGTAATCCGTCGGCTCGTTTGCAGACCTATTACATAAAAAAAAATGATACCACGGCCTCACAGAAAACCGGCGTGAAACAACCTCAGCGTTCTGTAGTGCGGTTACCGGACGCCCAATCCCTACCCTCCCCTAATCCTTAAATCTCTCAACCCTAATCCTGGGGTCCATGGCGGTGCCGATTGCTTACCATCAAATGAAATGTAAGCTCGTTAGCCGACTTACGCCTTAAACATTTTTTTTTGGAAAATGACGTGTTTTAGACTTTTGTGTACTGTTTTCATTATCATTTCTGCCTACCCCAGAGCGTAGATTGAAAGTGTGTTGTTGCTGTGCATACCACAACAACAACAACACAATGCAACAACATTAAATAATGAACAATGGATGTTGTTCTCGTAATATCATAACAATATTATCTTATAATTTATAAACAATATCTTTCATAGATCATTTCCTAGATATGCCCTTGTGTTTGGATATCGGATCCTATTACCATGTGCGCTAGGTTGCCTATAACTTTGGAGAATAAATAATAATATTATAGAGTAGCTTCCGCCCGCGGCTTTTTCTGTGGTATGTTGATAGAAAGGGTATCAACTATCTACAATTACAACCAATTCGGTCTATTCGTTTTTGAGCCAAGGAATAACAAACATACATATGTACATACATTCTCAATAAACTTTCGCATTTATATATCATAGGAAACAGTTCATTACTAATATTATCATAGGAAATTTAATCTGTATATTTTGCTTATGTTCGCAGCGTTCTTGAATACGCATGCCCAATATGGTCCCCTCAATATAATGTATATAAAAATCAAATAGAACGGGTTCAAAAAAAATTCATTAATCACCTTAACTACCGCCTTCGTAAACCTCCAATGTCCTATGAAAATAGCTGTCGGACGTATGGATTGTTAACACTCGATGAACGACGCGAAGTGTTGGACATGTGTCTACTTTACGACATACTGAATGGTAGGCTGGATTGTCCGGATTTGTTATCACAGATCAAATTTAATGCTCCTCTACGACGCACTCGCCATACGCCAATGTTGCATGTACCAAGGCATGCCACTAATTATGCTAGTAATTGTGTACTTACTCGCATTGCGCGAACCTACAACAGAAACTTCTCTCAGGTTGATATGTTTAACTGCACAAAACCTAGTTTTAAAGCCCGAGTTAAAAGGCTTATAATTGATATAGACAAGCAGCCGGTAACTTTGTTCCATTCACCATAAAGTATTAACTATGTTAATTCATATTTTAATTAATTTCTTTTTATAACAAGTAGTATATTTAACTTTCAATTCTATGTATAGTAAGACTTTATTTTTTAATATTGTTTAAAGTCCGTTCGCATGGTAAACACAAATTAAGTTAAGCAGGGAAACCTATTATTAGCCTTACTAAACTGTAATATCTTTATTTGTATTATACCACATGTATCGCTGTTGGTTTTCTAAATAAATAAATAAATAAATAAATAAATCTATATTGTTGTTATGTGTAGTTAGAAAGCTCTGCAAAGTTTGTTTTTTTTTTGAATTCTACAATCTTCTAGTTGGTTCGAATTCGAATTGAACTTATTTTTTTGTGTCCAGCACATATTTGTTGACGAAGGCATATCGATGGCAAATATCACGGTACGACCTATAGAAGTTGAGCAGTATGTGAAACTGTGCTGATTATAGCTAGTAGTCTTTTTAATAACAAAATGCCCCAAAAACACTTTAAAACAAGAATTAGTAATTAAGGTGGTTTTAAACATTTCAGAGTCATATACTAAAAGTATTTAGCGAAGATGACATGACACCAGACTTCAGAGAACTATTAGTTATCCAGGATACACAGGAGAGTGACAACAAGAAACAGAGTCCAGCATCAAATGAAAAAAATGAAACTATACGACTTGAAGCCAATATTACAACCACAGGTTTGTTAAAGTCTATTTATTTTGATCGGTGATACACATAAATAGTCAGATGACCTGATAAACCTCAAATTGGCAGCCAACCGCTGGCTTGTAGAGAAGTGGGCGCCTTGACCCATGGGACATCATGACATTAGGGTAGTTCAAATTAAGATCATAAGCCCAGAGTCCAGACACAAAACATTACAAGGGTCTACGCAAAGTGAGCAAGGGTAGCTCGCCGCAAGATCAGAGATAAGCCGTACGGCGGGTTGTGTTCAAAGCGCGCCTTTCAAAGCCAATTGACTACTGGGCCCTTAGGCTGATGTCCAGCCGCGTTGCAAGTGCGAGCAGTAGAAGCAACGTAGTGGTTTTGAGTCAGTAAGCGTCAGACACTCCTTCTAGCCCCACCGAGGGTAAAAAGTTAAAAATAGCACCATAATTTACTTGAATTCCAATGGAGTTGTAAATCAATATCGGAAAACGAATATCAGCATACACTCAAAGCAAATGTTTCACCTAAAGCTATGACAAAATAAACGTTCTTTACAGAAAACCCAGCAAACGTATCGTTGCCAGCACAGCCTCAGACATCAGAAGAATCACAGCAGCAGGACAAGAAGATCCCCAACTCCAATGATGAGGTAGACGTCGTGGATCGCGAAGACCACGTCACTCAGTACTTGTCAGATCTGCTGGTTAATACAGACAATGAAATTACTAGCCTTCAGGTACTCAGTCAGTTGCCTCAAAGAGCCAATAGACCATCACAGCCTTAAAGGCCCAATAGACCAACACAGTCGGGGCCATAAAGTTAGTCAGTTAGTCAGTAAGACTCTGACACTCGCTTTCGCGCTTTCCTATGGGCGGGAGAAGTCATTTGATGATTTTCCCCTGACAAAAAAAGGTACTTAGTCAGCTAAGAATGCCTGTCAGGTTGTCATCAACATCAGTAGCAGTTCACTGCTAGATAATCGGCCTTAAAAGAGGATTTGCTATAATCTTCATGCTTGGGAGACAAGCTGAAGACCACAGTTTAATTTTTTTGAGTTTAATAGAGAACTCTTATATTTTTACGGTTTAGCCACGAAAGTGTTTAACGAGTAATTTTACTAGTTTCACACGATGCTCGAAAGTCGTTCATGACTATGAGCCCCTAGAGTGACTTTAAATTGGTCGAGTTCCACATTAAAAAATTAAGTGATTAAGTAGTTTTTATGGTGTTATTATTGTTTTTTTTAGTTTATTAAAAATAAGTCTTAAATTACCTAATCTACGTTTTGTTTACAGGGCACCGAAGTAGAAGACGACCGCGAAGGTATAGAGTAAGTATCTTTTATCCAGGTTTTTGATTGTGAATCTTCAAATTGAGGTTATAGAGTACAATTCTGGTTACCTACTTCTAGTGGTTATTATTTTAATTTATATCTAAATGCTCTAGCTTTGCTTAAAGGTGTTGATAAACTTGGGCTTCCAATGGCTTATAATGAGTATTCTTGAGATTTTATTAGAGAAAAATAACGAGAAAGCTCTGACAAGTATCCTATCAAGCGTTAAGCAAACGCAAACGAAAAAAAGGCAAACGATGCAGCGAAGGACAGTAAAACTTCCGAGAATTTTAAGTGTGAAAGAGCGCGTATGGGCTAGCTCGACCGGAGTAATACCGCCGCCTCATTAAAAACTGACAAGCAACACTTTCGCCATGTTTCACCGTGTGAGTGAGGTGACTGGAGGCCCAATCCTTCCCCTTCCTGTCCTCAAATCTCCTATCCTTAATTCCCTTATGACCAACAAGAGGCCGGCAATGCACTTGTAGCAACTCCTTATCGTGTGTCCATTGGCGGCGCCCATTGCTTACCATCAGGTAATCCGTATGCTCGTTTGTCGAATTATCTTGCAGCAGAAGGATTGAGCCTCCGGTAACCTCACTCACACGGCAAAACACAAAGCTGTGCTTGTTTCACTCCAGTTGTCTGTGAGGCCCTGCTCTCATTCTTTATTTTCCAAATTTGGGTAGGGGGAGGTTCTATCAGCACCTTGAGAGGTAAGATGAAGCACGACCTCTGGCTTTTTTATTTTCTTCTATATTTTAGTTGTTTGGGTATTTAATTTGTACACGTATATAGACAAATAGTTTTTACTTACAGCTTTACTTCCGTGCTTCGCTCCCAAGTGCCATAGCGTGATGATAGGTTAGTAGTTCTAGATATTTGTTGGTACAAACACACTCTTTCTTGTTCACTCACTTAGTTGAAAGATAGATAGCCATTTATATGCATTAAGGCGGAAACATACTTATGTGTCGTGTCGAATTGTGACGCACAAGTAGTATGTGGGTTTTATGAATTTATGAGGTATACATATATAGGCTTGTTTGTCCTTTCGTGTCGAAACAGGACCCCAGAAAGGCCTCGACACGTAAGCATTTTTCTGCCATCATTCAAATCTTCTTGTTTAATAAAACTAACTAACTAGGTTTCAATTTAACATAAAAACTACACACGGAATAGGGTTTTTTACGTAGTAAAAACACCTTAATTTTTCTCAGTATCTATCATTTAGATTTTGCGTTCATTTCTTACTTTAGTATTTATCTAAAAATTTTTCACTAAATCAGTGTCATTTAGCTGGCTTATTTTTTTGTGGGGTGAAAACCAAGTAAATGATTTCCCTGGCTCAGACACATACTGGTTGGGGCTACGGTACTTTGAAGCGCCTGCACCCGTGACCCCGGCTGAACACCAGTAGAGTCTGGTTCTAGTCGGGCGGCGAGCTATGCTTACTCACCGTTCGCAGACCCGTGTTCGGTGGCCGAAGGTCGTTCTGCGATCCCCATCGCTCGGAGGGTCGCCTGTGGCGTGAGAAGGATCGTTCCCGTCTCTCTACCTTCTTCTTTGCGAGTATGTCGACGTCGTAGGAAAAAGAGATGGCTACCTACTCAATTCCTTTTACTCTGTACCATGGCTTCGATTAGGGATAGACGCGAGAGGTTGTCGCGGCAGAACACTTCTCTGAGGACACAGTGTGGGAGAACCATACTTCGGCTCGACCGGACTGATACCAATGCCTCACAGAAAAACCGGAGTGAAACAACCACAGCGTTGTGTTTTGTCGTGTGAGTGAGGTTACCGGAGGCCAAATCCTTCCCCAATTGCTTTCCATCAGGTAATCCGTTTGCTCGTTTGCCGACTTATAACATAAAAAACAGTGGTGCTCAGCAAAAGCAGGACACACCGCCACCGTATGCTCCACCGTATCGTCCAGGTGTCATTTATTTAGCTGTTGTGTTTATACAGTTTGACATTGAAAAGCTATCAAGTTGTCATCATCATCAATACTGCACTCAAGTCATGCTTTAGGTACAATTTGTACAACAAAAAAGGAATTTATACCCTGTCCTTGTTTCTAAATACTTCAGAATTACTTGGTCGCTAGGTCGCCAGTGACGGTAAAAAAAATGTTGGATTTTTAACGATTCTCTGAGGTTACCGGAGACCCAATCGAACTCCTCCTCCAATTTCCAAAATTGAAACGCAGTTGAAACTCTTCTAGTGTAGCGAGTGTCCATGGACGGCGCCGATTGTTTACCATCAGGTAATCCATTGCTCGTTTGCTGGTACATAAACCCGAGTGTACGGCGCGTAGCGTTCCAAGCGCGCCTTAAAGAGCCAATAGACCACCACAGACGGGGCCCCATAGGGCTGATGTTCAGCCGAGGTTGCGGGGTAAGCGCAATGAGGCACCGCAGTCTCGGTCTAGAGCAGGAACGGGGGGTTTTTAGTCAGTAACAGTCTGACACTCCCTCATCAAAAATCAAGCCGCCCAGCTTGGGAGGGAGAAGCAATTTGATGATTTTCCCCTAACAAAGCACCAACCACATTAAAATTGAGCCATACTTACCTAATTTGACTAGTAAGTAAATGGTGTTGCATCATAAATAGGTATGCAATAAGTACAGTTTTTAACCACAAGCCAACTTCAGACCTCTTATCGAAATGTCAAAAACGATACCTCTTCTAAACATTTTGTTTGATACGAACTTATGACCTCCTCATATTTTTCTATCAGATTGCATATTCACTCCATTCCTAAAAAATAGATGGCGAAATAGAAAAAAAAGTGAAAAAAAAAAACATTTTCTATATAAAATTATTGTGTCACAATGTTAATTATCTCTTTCGAAACGGCTTTACTGATTTTTATAAAGTTTTATGCATATTCGCGTCTGAGAATCGCCAACTAGCTATGTTCTCAACATATAATTTTCAAAATAATTTATAAGTACCAGCTATTACCTATATAAATGAATCGAAATCTAAATCTAAATCTGTTGATAAGCTCATAACTCAACGAAGCCAGGACCAGTTTTGATAATTCTTTTTTTCTTGTGTTTATTATTATCAGGAAAAGATAATTAAAGAAATGTAGAGAGAAAAACCGAGTAATACTTGATACCCGAAAAATAGTTAAAAACTCACGTGAAGCAGTAAGTACCGATAGTCAAAAATCAAAATCTTTTTTCAGCTCCAGAGAAACCTTTTGAGGTGGAAGGCGCTTGGTGAGCAGAAAAATGAAGATCTTCCTAAACACACACATTAAGGATTGGGATAAAAAAAAATACATGTAGGAATTGGTTAATAAAGATTTACATCAACAATTGGCGTTTTATTTTGATTTTAATGTACATATAGCCTGATTATTTTACTGCCGATTAACGTTTAATATTAATTTGATGATAGCTGACAAGTACAGAATACATTAACCATGAGAGGTCTGTGGATCCACAGGAAACCGGCGTGAAGTATAACTTACGTTGGCCCAGTCCTTCCCCTATCTTAAATCCCTACTAACCCTAAGTGGTCTGGTGGCCTAGAAGGATCAGCAAGGCACTTGTATTTTGGTATTTGGTATTCCGAGTGTCCATAGGTATCATAATCCGTCTGCTAGTTTGCCGAACCGTGACAATAAAAACAGTATAGTGACGATCCCGTTCTCACATTCTGATACCCAGACTTTTTCCGTAATTTTGGTTTGTAAGAGTCGGACTCTCGATGACATCTCCATCCCCTCCCAGGGCTGGAGATGTCATTTCATAGTTTTGCTACAGAAAACAACCCTCCTGGTGCTTGCTAACGGTGATGCAGCAGGGCCGGTCCATAACGTGGTTGTTACATAGTTCATTACAGCTCGACCTAATAAAAACATGATCATCATCATCATCATCAACTTCTTACACGGGGAAGGTTTGAGCATAAATCGCCATGTCTGCAAAAAAAAATTATAAGTCCAGTTTCCTCACGATGTTTTCCTTCACCGTTTACCAGTGGTGTCCTAATAATCATAGAACTACATATAATTTGGAAAAAGTCACGGTGGTACTTGACAGGTTTCAAACCCTTAACCTATGGGACACCACTACTAAAACTATGATAAAAACATACTATTTTTTTAAGGATAGTTCGAGAATATTCTCGTACAAACTCCACGATGTCCATTAAAGAAAATCCCAGGGTCAAAATTATAATGCGAGTCTTGTACGGGTCAATATCGAATCGTGGGTTGACCCTCAATGAGATAGCGAAAAAATACAAGCAAGACAGACAATTACATAAATATACGAGTTTCGCGATTTTAATTACCGTTTTGGACCTTAGTGGTTGATGTTGGAAATAGGCTGCAATTGTATGATAATTGCTTTAACATGTCTGCACGTAGCCATGGCGAAAATTTATAGAAGACTTTAGTATGGAATGAATTATATCCCCAAACTTAATGTGGGAGAGCTAAGCTTCGGCACGTATGGGTTGGATCGACCGGATTGCTACGGCCTTACAGAAAACCGGCGTGAAACAACTACAGCGTATGAATGAGGTTACCGAAGACTCAACCCCTTCCTCAATCCCTCCCCAATCCTTAAATCCCATAAACCCTAATCCCCAAAAGGTCGGAAACGCACTCATAACTCTTCCTTCGTTACGGGTGTCCATGGGCGGCGCTGATTGCTTACCATCAGGTAATCGGTAAGCTCGTTTGCCGACCTATGCCATAAAAAAGACAAAATAGGAAAGTTGATGATTTATGACTCAAAAAAGGATTTATACTCTGCTCGATCCAAGAATCGAAACCTATACCAGACCCTAAATAGTGGTTTCTACCCATACTTGAAATAAAATTGTAAACCAATTTATCTCAAACTGTTTCTCAAAATTCTGGTCACGTATTTACGTTTTATAAATAGCTGGATTCCTTTATATTGGTGATACCGTTGGCACCAATATCCAATGTCATTGGACCCAATATTGGCATTAGGGTCTCTTGGAAAATGTAGTCTGGATTTTTTCGTGTGTTATTCAGATTTTTTAATTTGAAATCAAGGTCAAGGTCGTGTCCAATATTACCAAAGTGTTGCTTTGCAAAATATAACTGACGCATAAGGGGATTTTAAATAATTTCCTGGGGCGGTTGAAGAGTCTTTTGAGGCTTGGTTCTTGAAACCCAAACCTAATTGTTGGTGCATTGTAAATGTCACCCTCGATTAAAAGATCAAACACAACTGGTAGGAAAAGTATTCAGGATAACATTCACCAGGATAAGTACTCAGGGCCTTAATCATATGACGCGGTTTAAACAATTTGAAATCACTAACCTTTTCTTGACCTCAAAATCAATTCTCAACATTTTCCTCTGAATGCAGATTGCCTTAACCAAAAAGTGTTGAATGAGGAAATTCGTCACCTACTTATGACACACACGCCTCATGTGACATTCGAATTCCGTGACGTGACGATACAAAAATAGGAGTTTTAGTTACACTTGGTTTTTTAGCCTTTTATTGGAGGAGTATCAGTTCGATTCCTGGGACGAGCAATGATGGTTTTCAGCTTTCAATAATACACTGAAAGTGAATTTCACAGAGTCTCTGATCACCCTGACACGGCGTCAACTGTTAAGTCAAATAAATCTATTTTACGTAATCAAC